GTCAAGTGTCATTGAAAGGCCGCTTTTACTGTCATTCGGAGAAAAAGCTCTTTTTCTGTCTGATTTAAGGCGTTGTAAAACATTTGATACATCACTTCTTTAATGTTTTAGGTTCGATTTGTATTGTCTACATTTGTTCTGCATGCAACACTGCAATCTAACTAAATTGCAGCTACGAGTTGCGCGCGCATGTCATCTTTCATTACTTTCTAGCTTGTATTTATTACAATTAAGCTCCCTTTTTCTATTTATGCGCGAGACAGGTCAATTGAATATTTACGATTTTAGGGATTCAGTCACTTTTCAGTAGGCAATTAAAGAAAACTCTTCTTTTCTATGTAGTTTGGCCGAGCTTTCAGAAACGTTCATTTCCTTTATATAACATTTCCGAAAGCTCGGCCAAACTACATAGAAAAAAGTGTTTTTCTCCGAATGACAGTAAGAGTGACTTTTTAATGATACTTGACAGTCTCAAAAGGTGTATTTTCACTGCCTAGGCAGTAAAAGTGAACTTTTACTGCCTAGGCATTAAAAGTTCTTTTCTATGCAACGTTCCTGGTAATAATTTCAATCAATCTTTTTTTCAAAATTGAGAATGACAATGACAATGACAATATCACATTTTTGTCAACATAATTTAATTAGAATATAAAAAAATTACTATGAGTGAAATTAAAACAAATTCGGAGAAAAAATTAAATGTTTCACACAGCAGAAAATCAGATTTAATGCCTTGGCTGGTTTCCTATGAAACACCAGCCGCGGCATTAAATCTTGTAATTTTCTGCCTAGTAAAACAAATAACTATTTTTTTTAATTGCCTGAAGAAAGTTACTGGATCTCTAATAAAATCGTGAATATTATAATATACCTAGGTATATAGATATAGTACTTTTTTGAAAGTTCCAAATATCCAATAAAAAAATCCATATATCTAAAGGGTCTACATAATGTAAAAGTTATCTTCTGGAATGGCTATGAGATGTGACTTCATTCCAGATGTTAACTTTTAGTTATTTGTCAAAATAGTTTTATAATACCTCCCTAACACCCGTATTCATCAAAATTAATTTAGCGATCTGATAGCTGTCAGTCTGTTGAAATTTATCGGTTGGATAACAGCAAGTGCTATTCACCAATAAAAATGGTCCTTCTGAGTCTTCTGACAACAAACAGACTGATAAAAATAAAAATCCATATATTCTGTGAACAGTTTTTTCCTGCGCCTAACTTCTTAATTAATAATAACTTCTCTTGGGCTGTGATACAAGTGGTCAACTTCCTAATCCTAATAATTTGTCTGGGGTCGTATTTTCGAATATTCTCGGATACGAAATTTGATATGATTTCGAATGCTCCCCATCAACTATCGTATACAAAGTTCCAAGACTCGGTTCAGTGTTCAATAGGTTTATTTCCAGCCTTTGAAAGCTATTTTTGTCTATTCTGAATCTTGTATGAAACTCCAAATCATCCAATTCAGTAAATAAATCATTCTTTCCGTCACATTTCTGGGCTTGGGAAGATCTTCATCTGATGGATCATCCGATGAACTTCCAAAAAAATTCAGGTCAATTTCATCCATTCTGTTCATTTTGCCAAAGAATAAAAACCTATAAGTACCACAAATTGAAATTTAACGAACTATCCATTCTTTCCAATTTATGGATACGTTCGATTTTTTTTCGAAACAAAACAATAACAATAACACTTATCAGATGGATAACTTCCTTAACAGCTCAAATTTCGTCCGACAACTTTATCGGATTGATATCTCTACTACTCAAGGTTTTTACGTTAACAGTCTGACAAGCAGTTTATCATACTGATAAGCAGTTATCGGTGGTTGGTGAATACGGCCGTAAGCCAGTCAAGTAGCTGACTTGACTTTTTCCGCGTATTCAAATTACATTTTTTCTTTTCCCAAATTAATGTTTTTTTTCTTTTTCAAAATTAAATGTTTATTTTTCAAAATTAACTTTACGTTTCCTAAAAATCAAATTACCATTCCAAATTTCAAATTTCTCTTTCTAAAATTCAAATATAACCATTATAATTTTCATTTTAAATTTTTCAAAATTCAAATTTTATTTCCAATTAAGTATTGTTAATTTACAGTTTCGTACACAGTGTCGTAATACTTTTACCATTTTGGTCTGGTTTGATCACATCGTACATTCTTATTTATTCTATAACTACATCCAAGATAAATCAAAGTAACGTGTAAACACAGTTAGGTGTAGCTAAGGCAGCGTTCCAGTGCCTAAATTAGAGTATCATTCTTCTGGAGGTGGAGTGTGAGGCTCTTGAACTGTTTGGCATACAGTCAGAAATGAGTAAATTATTATTATTTGCATTTATGAACGGCTAGAGCGTCGCAACGGTGTTGCACTCACTCTGAGTGTGTCATTCCTGAAATGGCCCCAGTAGTGCAACAGACTCTGACTCTACCAACTCACCACATTGCGTTCTGAAACACCGCTAACCGGTTTATGAATGATACGCATTACTTTAACATGGATTTTCTTAAAAACTATCCATTTTTGGGTTTCAGCGCAATGCGGTAACTCGATTAGCAGGAAAATGACTTCTACAAAATATCAAAAATCAAATTTCCATAAGATTTACGCGGGGTCCTTTTTAATCTTACATGGAGAAACAATCGACATTTTCCATATTATGTCTTCAAAATTATACTCACTCATGTATGCGTGCGGAAAAATAACACTTTCGAAACGAAAATGCGTTCGGGAAAGTGGCCAAAAACGCATGTCTTTCTCTATTTAATTTCCTCACGATACCTATCTATTGGGTGACAACGAGATTAGGTATTTACCAAGCTCTGGTTCAGGCATGGCAATCGATATCGATTTGAAATTTTGGAGATGTATTGCTATCGTTGCAGAATTTCAGCATCGATATCAATGAGATACATCCCACTAAGCAATGTAATATCGCTTCAATATTTTAGTAATGTTTCTAGATAATATTGAAATGTTTTGTGGTGAGGATTTGCATTAATGCAAAATCCTTTATTTTTAAATTCCCTTTTCTGCCAGTCCAACTACAGACCGGGGCACAATGGTTAGTTGATAAACTTCCAATTTCCAATTGATCTTATCACACATGCCTCAATTCCTCCAACGTATTGTAAAAAAGCCACCTAAAATTAAAAATTAAACAGTATTAAAATATCACAAAAAATTAAATTGTTAAAATCTTACATTGGCTTTATTCTCTTCCTCTCCCAACATCTCAAGATCTTGATAAACCCTTTCGTCCTGTTCAATTCTCTTGTATTATTTATCAAGCCAAAAAAAAAGAAGCGTCGTCTGCGTCCTCCGTCCTCTAGCGTCCTGGCTTCTGGTGGCGTGGCGTCAACAGGTCAACAGACAACAACAAATGGGTGGTGCGTCTGCGCTGTTCCGAATTCCCAAATAATTGTCCCGTCTTTGTCAGTCAAATATGTTTTTGCATGAGAGAGACAAATACAGCATATTGCAAATAAAATCTATCTACAAGCTTAATGCAACATTGAGAAAATTTATGTTTCCTATTCCAAAGTTTATCTTGAAATATTTAGGTAACGTTTTTTATTCTTGAAACTGTTAATGTACACATGTAAAGGTATCTGCAACATTACAGTGACAGTTTTAAGAAAAGTTGAGCTTATAATATTTATGCAATCATTTATTTTATTATATATTTTCAATGTTACAAACGAAAATATTCCCGCAACATTAAAGCGACAGAGTTGAGAAAAGTTAGATTTCATATAACATTGTTATAATATTTGTTTTACTTACATTTTATAATGTTTCAAATGTAATACATTATTGTATCTACTGCAACATTTACTTGATAACTAAAACGAATGTTTCTCTATTGAAGTTATATCAAATTTATATCCCTTAACATTGGATAAGTAATATTTTGGAAAGCTTAATGTCACATTACGTAATAAATTTTCTAAAGTAAGGTCGATACAATATTGCTGACAAATTTTGCAACATTACATGTTTAGTGGGATCCCCGACATGTTGAATCCATATCGATTTCCGTGTCTAAGCTATAGTTTTGTAAATAATCTCGTGGTCACCCGGTATATTTCCATGTTTCATGTAAAGTCTCTTTTTTTTAAAGATAATTCCCCAAGTCAAAAATTTAGTAACTATGTTGGCAACACACAAGGGGCAACAAAAACCTTCTACACAAAAAATTTGCAAGCATTGACAATTTTGCATTTTATTGCCAACATAATGTCATTTTGACTTTTATCTTTAAAAAAACATACTTTAGCTCTATCAAGCGAAAAGTAAAACATGTAAAATAAATTTTAAAGTTGGAGGAAATTAAAAATAAAAGTAAAGTCTGTTTTTTTTTTTTTTAAAGTTAATTCCCCAAGTCAAAAATTTAGTAACTATGTTGGCAACACAAGCCTTTTCTACATAAAAAATTTGAAGGCAAGACAATTTTATATTTTATTGCCAACATAATGTTATTTTGACTTTTATCTTGAAAAAAAAAACAGATTTTATTTGAATTTTTTTAGACGTCTCAAAGGACTTTTTGTCTCAACTTTACTACTTATCAGCTTAAAAAACTAGCTACCAATTAGGTATTAACTTATAATTTGCCGGATGATAATACAGAAACTGTAACAATATAGAAAACAGGAAAAAAACAGCAAGAAAACGCTGGAGCTGCTGCCATCCTGCCGAAACACAATCGATAGACAACAAACAAGGCAAAAGGAGAAGAGAGAAAAACTCATCTTCAAAGGCAAATAATACAATTCAAAAACACCTGTACAAAAGGACAAGAGACAAAAAATTAACATGACAAACGTTAGGCGGATCCGTTCTGTTCTCGGACCGTAGATAATGCCTATGGTAGCTCCGCCCGCCATCTTCAATTGGTGCTACGCTGTGGATATAGATGGCGCATGTGCACTGCAAGCGCACCTTTAGGAGACGATGACAATTTACACATAGAGTGCGGCAAGTTGATGGGATTTGCACGTATTTTCGTGCCCCGTTGTGCTATTGTAATCTATTTTATCACACTAATTATAGTAAAGGGACAATTGGACATATAATCGGAACTATCGCGCGCGCCTTCGTTTATCGCTTTAATTGGTTTTTGGAGTTAGTTGACTATTTAGTGACTGGGTGTTTTCAAAAAAGGCCTCAAAATTGATCTGGATCTACAGAGACAGGCCTCTAACGGCCATTTTATAAGGTAAACTTAAATATTTACATTGGGCAAGAGTGTCAATAATAAATTACTCACATTTGTCTGTAGATTTGAGTGTATGTCTATAGATGGGGGTCTTAATGTTGGAGTCTTTTAATAAGAAGTACACTTTATTAATTGGCATGTTTAGTGATAACTTGTGATGCTTTTTTTTGGAAAAGAAAGAGATGTGTTTTAAAAATATAAATGACATCAAATTTAAATTAAATTTTTGCTCGCATTTTTGACGGCTGACATAGAATAATTTTAGGTTGCAGGATATGTTTTGTGAGATGTTTCGAATTGAATCTCGGAATTAACGCAAGTTGACTAAAGACTGATTTTCGTAACGAGCCTAGTTTTGTATTTGAAATACTTTTTTGCCCTTATACAGGGTCGTATTTTTGACGGCTGACATAGAATAATTTTAGGTTGCAGGATATGTTTTGTGAGATGTTTCGAATTGAATCTCGGAATTAACGCAAGTTGACTAAAGACTGATTTTCGTAACGAGCCTAGTTTTGTATTTGAAATACTTTTTTGCCCTTATACAGGGTCGTTTGCCACATTTTTTGACGAATATGTAACTTTTTTATTTGACTTTCTTCTTGATACATGGTTCAAATTTGACATTTATAGATGTTAAAAAGCACGAGAAAATGTTGGTTTCCGGTATGCTTACAGAGTTTTCCATAAAGGAATGTCAAAAAGGATACTTTTTTTCAGTGGAAAGTGGAACATGTAAAGTTCTAGATCTTTTTCATGTTTAATATTCTATATTATATACAACTGCTCCCAAAAGATTAATATTCCAAAATCAGAATGTTTGCTACATAGGTAAATGAAAAGCTAAATAATTGGGTACCTGGTAGGTATACCTACTGGTATTATTATTATTATAATTACATATTAGTATTACCTAGATGTCACCTAGTAAACTAAGTAACAGAGAACAGAATTAGCTATGCCCAGAATAGGCCAGTTGCATATTTTTCAAAAACATTTTAAAATTATGCTGTTTATCATTCTAATAACATCTGTATCCTTTTTTTTCCAGAAAAAAGCTTATTTTTAAAAATAAAATGATTTAGGTATGATCGAATTGGTTTTTTAAACTGCTGCGGAAACGCGGGATAGGAAAGTGACGTCACTTTCCCAAAAATGCGAGGATACCGAATCGCTCATTAGAAAATCCGAGAGGTATTTCACGATCGGCATTGGTGTATAAATTTACGGCAATAATTACGGCAGTGAGAGTAGTGATTTAGGATTTGTGGGCATTGAATAGATAAATAAGGGAAATTGAGGCAGTGATCGCGGAATTGACGGCATTGAATTGATTTCCGAATTGACGGGATTGATGTCAGAATTGACGGCATTGTGTCGGAATTGATGGCATTGATGTTGGCATTCTTGACATTGATGGCGACATTTTCGGCATCGAGGTCGAGTCGGCATTGACAGAAATGTTCGCAGTAATTGCCATAGGCATTGACTACACTCAAAAAAATCTTGATCATAATATCAATGAACTGCTTTCATAAATTACATTTTCATTGATTCAGTGAAATTTTCATTAATCCCAAGTACAGAAAACTGTAAGTATTATGATTTCATGAACAGCTATCATTAAAATAAAGAATGAAGCTTCATTAAGTTATGAATAGTCATCTACATGAATCTATGTTGAATAGTGCATCGGTTATAAGAACTAAGTTCATTGATATTATGAAATTAAACCTTGATATTAAAGAAAATTTCTTTGATGGGAGCTTCCACGGAATATTCATAATATAAATGAATATTAACATGAATAATATGAATATGGTTCATATAACCTTACTAGAAACTTATCCTTTTAAGAACGATATTCATTGATACAATGTACGGTTCATTTAAAACAAGCAAGTATTCCTAGAAACAAAGGTGCAACCATTACATCAAGATAAATCATAAATACAATGAAACAGTTCATAGCATTAATGTAGACAGTTCCTAAGCACATGCGCAAAGGTAGCTGCAGTCGGGCAACGACATAGAAAAATATGTTGAAATAGGAATAATTACATTTCTATTTTCTGGGTGCATTGCTACGCACTTCGTTCAAGACGGTTTTTTCGGTTTTGTGTTGTTCGAAGTGTTAAATAGAAAGACGATTATACCTGTCGCCGGTTTTTTCTAAAGGTAAGTTGTATACCTCTATTACCTCTATAATATGTATACCTATTATGTAGGTAGGACTTTGATGCCTTGCACGGAGACGGTCTGGTCTCAAAATGGGAATGCGAAAGAAATGACCTAGAGACTTAAATTTCATCCGGGGAGAACGTGAAAGACAAAAGCGTCAAGAGCTCCTCAGAATTTCTAAGGAATACTGAAGTCTGTAAAAGTAAGTATACCCAATCTCAAATCAAGTTGTAATTTTTTTAATCGATATATTTTTGTTAAATGGTTTTGTTTCATTAGGTAGAAAAGCAGAAGATTCAATACCGCAGCTAGTGTTTCATAGCCGAGGCAAGGAAACCAGCCAAGGCATCAAATCTAATTTTCTGATGTGGCTTGTTTTAGAAACTTTGGATGTTGATAGTTCAAAAACAGCTGGAACAAATATAGATATATTATATATTTATGGAAACAGGATTTGAGGAGGATTTGAAAGATAATAGAATATACGGTTAGTGTCATTTAAAATAATAATACATAAGTAGGTACTTAGATTTTTAAATTTTCAGATTTTGGGATGCCCATTGGTTTGTTTGACAATTCTGGAAGATGATACGAAGAAACCATGCAACTTTTGCATTAAAAGCTTTTTTCCTATTGCTCATATTCATCAGTACAGGGGACACGCAAATATAAAAAATGACCCTTTACCCCATTTAAAATCATAAGTATATTTAAGGCATAATTCATGAAATTATTTTAATAAAAATAAAGAATATGGTACATATTATTGAAAACGTCATTAATAAATACAATGAATGAAATTCTTAGTATTCAAGACTGTGATTCATAAATACAATGAAAGGGTTTTATCAAATTATATCTGGGCTTCATTAATATTATGCCGTCTGTTCATCAGGACAATGAAAAAGTACATATAAACTAAGAACGATGTTTATTGTTACTATGAAAAGTTTCATTAATACAAAAACCTTGCTACATACCTTAATGTTCGTTGTTCATACACAAGATGAATCGAAATAGGAATTAAGAAATTGTTCATACTTCAATAACGTAGAGTTCATGTGATCAAAGAAGCCGTTCTTTGGACCGATTTTAATGAATTGTTCATTAAATCAAAGAACAACTTCTTTCTATTTATGCTACTATTTGGTTGAGTGTAGGCAGTGTTATTAAACATTGCCTAACTTAGGCAGTGGTGTGCACATTTTTGGATAGGTGAAACACCCCTCGAGTGAATCATTACACAACTCACCTAGAAACTATTTTCGTCTCATTTTTTAATGTGGCAACAAGCGCATAAATATCGGCTTAAGCCAATGAGACGGCGTTTTCAGTCACGTGGTTTTTTGTTTAGTTATTTACCTAACAAATACGGAGATTATTACTTTACCGCACGCAACGGCAGTCAACCGGTTATAGGGGCGGTAAAGGCACTGCGTTATTAAAAATGTTGTGATTACAAATTCCGAAGTCTATTTTATCGAGTATTTTACCGCTCACTATGTGGTAAAGTAACTTCACCGCACACTATGCAATCTACTTTACACTTCCAAATAAGTGCGGTAGAGTGGACTTTACCGCCACGCTCGGATGTAATAGTACCTATATTATAATATAATAAGTGTGGTAACAAGGTTATTAACGCACGCCTCACTGGCTCGCGGCTCGGTTTGCAATCTCTAAAGGCGCCGGTAATAACCTAATCACCATACGTATTATATACAGTATTTTATCTATACAACCGTGCGGTAGCAAAATATCCGAAAGGAGTGTAAAAAAATATAGATAATAAATTTTTGTATAGGTATCACCTTTGAGAGTGGACAAGTAGAATTTAGGTGAAAGGTAGGTAATTGAAGGTAGGTATATTATATTTGAATTTTCTATAAAAACTAGCTGAACCGGCGAACTTCGTACCGCCTATGAATTATTAAATACCCATTAAATGTTGTGTTAACGTATCTAGTAGATGAATTAAATTAAGTTTTTTTCAATGGTGAGTTTGGCCTTGGTTGAAGAAAACTAATGTTTACCTACTCTCTGGATCAGAAATCACCTAAAATTAAAATTTTACATCATTTGGCTATTGATTTCAAATAGGATGCCTCGCTTGGATCATAATCGCTCTCGGAGCACTTCCGCAGAGATCTGTGACGTCACCGCCCAAATAAAGAGCGCTCTGGGAGCAGTAAAGCCGAAAATGCTATAAGATAATACTGTTACGTCGGTTGAATGGAATAAACAAAAATAAGTTAAGTTATGTAGTGGTGAGAAGCAAGAAAAAATTAAAAAAATTTGGGGTGGACCACCCTCATCACTTAGGGGTATAAAAAATAGCTTAAAACCTATTACATATAAAATTTCATAAAAATCGGTAAAGCCGTTTCGGAGGACAAAGGTAACTAAAAATGAGAATTTTATATATTAGATGAGCTAAACGGGACAAGAAAAACTTGATATTTTACAGTCCTACTTAAGGTATAATAAAAATATCTAAGCAGTTAGCAAAACAAAGATACCGTAGGGCACACAGAAACAATCAAACACTAACTGAAAATATATACCTTCTTTTGTAAATGTACCTCACCTATTAAATCAGAATGAAATGATCGAAAACTTACAGCGAAAACAATGAGCGGGAAGATTGCAATTTTGCTAATATGTACAGTCATGAGCACAAAAAGTGGGACACCCGACTGACAAGTCTTGTCATTTTTCGCTATTTTGCGTAAATCAGTCTTTTCTCTACAATCGATGTTTTGTCAAATATGACAATCTCTGTCATTGCCGTAGGTATAGTTGGTGCGCCCGTTTTACAA